CGGCCATATTTTTTGTATTGGTTCCTTCAATCAGCTTGGTATGATCACAAGTTTGGTTCTTGCCTTGCTAGGTGTCGTATGTAGAATTTTGTCTCTTTTGAGTTCTATCTATTTCTTTGATCGTTTTGAAAGGAAAAAGGATAAAATAAAACTCACCACAACTTCCTACCCAAGAAGCAAGAAAGAACTAATAATACAAAAACTCCTATGTATATATATAAACTATCCGATGACTTCATAAAATTTTTGTAAATCATAAATCTCCTTAAAACTGAAATAAGTCTGTTTAGTACTATTCATGCATATCTGACTAGATATCCCGTCATCATATTGTTGGATTGCATGGTCAATTCGAATCATATATTTAATTTAAGAGGAAAAAAAGCATTGTGGTTGCCTCGTAAATTACATATCGTATGTGCGAAACACCTATTATATCTTTATTATGATTTAATTTATAATTTATTTTAATTTTATAAAAAAATTACAAGCCCATGTTACTAATTAAAAGCGTGAATAGAGTTGAAGATTTGACCATCTCGCCACCATCGTTATAATTTCATGAATAATTTATGTATAGAAAGCTCTTTTTATAAGAAATCCAACGAAATTTCTCTTCGTCGACCGAACCTTCTATTAGCCAAAAAGTTCTTCTAGTTTAGGCGATGCACGACGGTGGCATGGATACTTCAACCGGTGATTTTCGACGACCCGTCATCCAAATTTGATGGTGAGCTAATATTTTGTTCATTTTTTCATGGTCTACAACACCCCTTAGCTAATTTTATGTTTTGAATTCAAATAAGTCATAACGTGAAAGTGTCATTTTTTGCACAATGTTATCAATTTTTCTATGGCCCGTTTAACAATTATTTCCAAGAAGCCTAATTGAATAGTCAAAACAAGAATAATGTTTTCTTACTCACGATCAGTACATGTTAATATGCCCACCATTTATGTAGTATGCATACATTGGTGATGTTAATATATTCAAAAAAATACATCACCAATGCGTGCATGCCACATAAACAGTTGACATATTAACGTGTGGCCACTTGGGTACGGAAACATTATTTGTCAAAACAAAATAA